AAGCTTGTGCTATGTGAGCTATTTTCATGTAGACTTTATTTTCATGGATGCTCACTGGCAGAAAGATGAGAGAGATAGTATCCCTGACGTAATCTTCATTAATGTCTCATCTCAGAAATAATTACAAAATAAAGCTGAATGGATGGAAAAAGCTAGTAGATTATTGCAGTAAAAGCTGACAGAATATTAATATCTTTGTCTAGAAGTGATCAAAGCAGATTTATAGTGGTCAGTGGAATTTGTGAACTATAGGTAAACCAGCAGGGAAACTAAGGCAAATCAGAAAGTAATTAAGAATAATTCAGGAAAATTACACTGACATTTGGTGGATTTCATTCATTACATTTAGTGAAGAAGTTAAAAAGAGAAATCAAGGAAGTAGTAATAGTAGTATCAGCAAATCTTTAAAACCATCCACAGAACACAAAGAACAGAAAAACAGGTTCAAAGCAATGCTACCATAACAGGTGCTCTCACAAGTGAAAGAAGCATCTTTTTTTAATTTTTGAAGGACTGAAACCCAGAGTAAAGATTTACAGTGTGTTTCAGTGTTGTTATTAGGCAGAATATCAACATTTATTTATAAGGTGGGTAGATTGTATTTATACTCAGTAAGATGATTCACTCACCTTCTAGAGAGGTACAACTAATTAATTCTTCTTCTAATGTTGCTCTTTCACTCTATTTGTAAAATCTTTTCTGTAAACTACAGAAGACAGAGTTCTGAAAAAGTCACCAGCTTTCTTTGGGATAGCTACAGTAGATTTATGGCATTAATAAATTTGTATACCTTAGCCTATACTGAATTAGAATTTTAAATGGAAATATAACACTGAATGTTGTGAATGGTCAGCTTATTATCAAAAGCAAATCATGATATTACAGATGGGTAGTAAATACTGAAGAGAAAAAAGGTTCCTCTCATAAGAAAATGGCTGTGCAACTAAAAAATAAATAGACAAAATGAAAAAAAAAGAAATATTTTCCTGTAGATCTAAGGCAAAGACTGATCTCTTGGAACTGATGACAAATAGCACAGACTTGATCTCAGAATTACCCTATTCATCCTTTCAGTCAATTATATAAATTTAAAAAGATCGTTTTCACAATCAGGATGCAAAATCTGCAAGGACAGAAAAAGCATGACAATCTCAGATTTAGTTAGGTTTGATCGTGGCCTTTGTCTGAATGCTGGCAATATGACTCATTCATATGACCCTCTGTTCCAGACCAGATCATAGAAGGGACCTTAAAATCATTTAGTACTAAGATTTTTTACATTATTTAAGGACAGATTTTACTGTTGTTCTTTAATTCTAGCCTTCATCAGTGATTACAGAAGTCTACTTCTATTCCTAAAATATCTTTAGGCAATATATTGGCTGCTAATATCATCTTTAAAGATGATAAAAAAATAAAAAATATATTTTTAAATCTAGCCGACTTTATTAAATTTCACCGAAGCAACAGAAACAGAAACCTTCTTTAGTAAATTCTTCATAGACATACCTAAAGTTAAGTCACTGTTGCAGTGAACTTACTGAATAAACATCAGCAAGAGATATCTGCAGGTACAGACAGTAAAAGAAAAGTAAAGGATCAATATTTGCTTGTTGTGATAAGAGGTGGGCTCTGATTTTGAGTTTAGCAGTCATCAATACTTGTGTAAATGTTCTAATGAGGAGTGTTTTTAAAAACTGGAAGGAGAAATGTTTAGATGTGTGTACAGGGAGTTCCTCCTGCACCCCAGGAGAAGCCTGGGTTTTTCTGATTTCTATTAGTTTTTCCTCCTAATTTCAGTGTGGTTGGTGATTGAACAAAGTCAATGTGTGAAACTGAAGGCACAATAATACTATATATTATTTGAATTAGGAAATATTTTATCTATCTGTGCCATTGTACTTTTTTTTTTTTTCACCCTGATACGTTTAAAGTACATTTTATAGCACAAGAATCAAGCAGTTATGAACAAAGTAACATACCATTCCAACTGTGTGAGAGGAGGTAAATATAGGAAGGGAATTAGGTAAATATGAATGTTTATAAAAAATTCTTCAGCAATATTCGCTGGCAGGATTTCTTTGAAGTCTGTGACAACCCTGGGAATAGAAAAACAAGACCAAAGACAAAATTCAGCTTTAAATATTTCCGCTAGTATATTTTCAGTCTTTTATTTTTTTCCTCAGTACCTTTTAATTGAGACCTCAAGGGAGGGAAGTATATTATAATTTATGGTAACGAGTTTCAGTCCCTGGCCTCATTTCCTCTCTTCCGATGTAACAGTAGCAAGAGTTATTTTGCTAGGTTATGAAGAACAGAAAAAGGCCTACTAAAACTGCTGTGCTAGGAAGAAACAGCAACAACTAAAAGAATTTTTTTTTTGCAGAGTGTGAAATGCATGATGAGATAGTGACTTGCCGAAGACTTTTTCAACATTTCAATCAATACCTATCAGAGGAACTAGGACTCTTCAAATAATCTGAAAGTAAGTCAACAATATGGCTGGAAAGTGAGGTGATATATCTTGCAATGTCTTAGTACTCCCAAGCAGCTAGGGTGTGGGGGATACTGACCTTGGTACAAGATGAACTGGGGAGAGGTCCAAGGCTTTTTTTTTAAATTAGAAATAGCACTGAGTCTTTTCTGACACAGGTACTGCCAAACTAAAGGTAAAGAGGCTTTTGAACTTAATGGAATGTTGTTTAAAAGTAGGACTGAAAACTGTTCATTGAAAATATGCTTTTATTTTCCTTAATACTTACAGATTTAAGGGTTTCGTTTTTCATCTGACTGTTGCAATCAAATTATTACTTTAATTTCTTACTCTATATACATTCAACAGTGATTTTCAATCTGCAGCTCACGAAGCCTTGAACTTCCATTGGTTACTTCTGAGCATGCTGTGAAAGGGAAATTAAAAACAACAAAACAATTCTCACCATTACATTAATTTAAATTTGTTGTGTAAATTTTGCACCTTCCTAGAATTACTCTAAGGATTCATTAGCATAAATAAAAAAATGTTCAAAATTCCTCCCCTACAGTAAAAAGCAAGAGTAGATGTCAGATCAGGTTTGTTGGCTTTGAATTTTTCTTGCTTTACAATCTTAGAATCATAGGAAAAGAATAACTCCTTGCTAGCCAACGATGTATCATAACGCATCATCACATCAAGGTTAAAACTCTTCAGCATACAAAACAATAATCTACATATTTTTTGCAGGAATTACAAACTGATGTTGCAGCCTTAGCAACTTAGTCTGTCCTTTGCAGGACAGAAGCTATATAAAGAATCCAAAAAAGGATTATGCTGATCTTCCATTTTTGTAAAAAAATATTAGGAAAAAGTATGCTTTATATCCATTATATGCCTGTCTCTTTTTTTTTTTTTTCACATAAAATATGTATATCAGTAACTGAATGCCATGACTTTCATGGTGAAATAAAAAAAAAAAAAAAAAAAAGAAGTTTTATGTAATGCTCAGTTCTGGATTCACTTGTGGGTATGAATTCTTGATATGTGAAAACAGTTACAAAAGTAAATATTTTGTCTGCTAGAATATTCATTGCAGGCACCAATACTTTATTTTACATTTAGGCCTGTGTTTATGGTCAGTATTACATAAATACAATTTTAAAAGCCTTTGTGTGTGACTTCAAATATCTTAAATTCAGTTATCTAATGTGGACAAGTCAATATTTTATTCACTTTGATGATTAATGGGAAATGTGTTTCAACCATTTTAATTCTGATTTTACTGAATACTTAACAGTTTCTGCTGCCCAGTGCTACTTAGAAAAGTCAGGTCTTGCTCTGATTTATATGGTGCTTTTTGTTCTCATGTTCCAGAGCTGTAACATTTCTTTTAATATTTAATTTAAAAAAACAGCTAAGTCAACTGATTATTAAGTACTAATTATAATTAGTAGTACAAGCATATCTTATCAGGCCCAAGCAGTGAAGTCAAGTTACTTACCTCAGATCTGGGTATGGTGGATAAGAATGACATAGCTACTAGTCAGTTCAAATAAAACGAAATTGTTTTTCTGAAGAAGAAACCATAAGAGATAGCAAATACCTGATTTACAACTTTGTGTTTGCCGCAAACTTGAATTTGAATCCCTAGATGGTTTTAAATAAATGCATGTGAACTTTTGTAATATCACAAAGCTATTATTATAAATATTTAATATACATATCTTTCTTGCAACCTGTTTTGCTTCTCTTTGACTACACAATCTTTTTAACTGGCACGTCTGTCATTTTCAAGCAGCAGTATCTGAGCACTGCATAGAGAGCAATACTTAAAAGCCAGGGTCTGTGGAAGCATTTCCCCCATTTTACAGCATTGCTCAGCTCTGCTGTGTGCACTGATGACTATACTACTTCTTAAGGAAGTCTAAGGTTTGATGTTTTCTATATCTCTACAGGTCCTTTGCAGTAGCAACCTCTCCCCTTGGACGAACAGAGTGCCCAGGGAGAATAGAATTTGCTTTTTTTTTTTGACAAAATCAGTGTCTGTCAGATTCTTACAGAGCTATGGTTGACTTGACAGTCCACAGCTAATGTAGGATTCACAAAACCTGCATGAGATCCTCAGCAGATGTTTCTTGAACATGTGCTTGAAACAGTGCAAATCCAATTCCCATAAATATTCCTAAGTTACTACTAAAATAAATAACTTGAGTTCTTGTAGTTAGTTTAAGACTAGAAGGTAAAATCTTTCTGTATTGAATGCTCAGAAGTGGAGGGATTTACTAATTAGATTTAATTGTGTCAGCCTGCAGTGCTTGATAAAATTCAAATCAAATACTTTGTTGGCATGATAAGCTCTGTAAAGCAGTGCCAAAGAAGAAAAAAAATAAATGGAAAAAGACCCTCAGATACTCTGCTTCAAGCTCTAGTTACTGCCTGCCCAACATTTGTCTATCTTGTAGCTGGGGATTTTATTCTCTGTCTCCATTTATCTCTACTGTTACATCCTCATTTGATTCCAAGTAGCTTCACAGCAGATTGCTCCTGCTCTTTTGTGTGCCCATCTCAGAGAATGTGGCTGTTTCTACAAGGAACAATGTTCCTGGCTGTACGTGGTTGGAATTGGATAAAGGAAAGATCCTAGGACTGACGGGAGATGGTGACAGGAGAAATGTGTCCGAAGCAGGCATGCATATGAGCGGAGAAGAGAGCAGATACTACCTGCTATTAGGAACAGAAGTGATTTTTTTTTCTTTGTGATTAAAAAGAATAGATTGATAATTTAAATTGTCTTGGGCAGAAGAAAACAGTTTTCATTAGAGAGGAAGCAAGGAAGCAGAGGGGCTAGTGACAATAAGAAAGCATGCAGTGATGAAGTGAACTCTTAGTGAAAAGGAAGGTATTCTACATAACGGATACAACTCTCAAAATATGAGCACTGCAGATGATTGGTGTAGAATTGCTGGAGATCAGCCTGCTGCAGAGAGGTGAGGTAATGCAAGGAGTCCAAGGAATGTCAAATTACCTGTCTGAAAAACCATATGAGTGTTCTGTTCGTGAGTATTCTAGTGTATAACCAAAGCAGGTACTAAGCTGTGTCTGCCTGAGAAAGATAATGAGTCCTTCTTTTCCCTGACAGGATTTCCTAACTAGGAAACGATGCTGGCCTTATCACTGTAACACAGATCTATTACCTATGAGTGTCTCCTTCACATGAGCTCTGTCTATATCAAGGCCTGAGCCAGGATGCTGGACAGCTGGGAGGCATACATGTGGCTATGCCATGAACTTACAGCTTGGCTTTGAGAACATCACAGGTTTGTGCTTCTTCCTCCCTTTATCAGCTTCTTCTGAAAGTATCCCAAGGCATAGGCGATCCTCTCCCATTTCTAGTGAGTCTGGCACAATGTGCATAGACTTAGCTAGGGCTTTGGTGCTCTACTATACTCAGCATATTTTTTTTTTTTTTTTTTCTAGATTTTAGTTGAGAAATAATGGGATTTTGGATTAAACTATATGTTTGATGTGATTTCCTCTTCCCTTTAAGGATTGAAATATGCAGTCAGGTGCATGCCTATAACAGTTGTATGTTGAGTGTCAGCCTGAACCACTGATTGACCACCTGAGGCAAGCACTGAGTCAGCCATGGGAGCACAGGTGAAGGCGATTCAGCTATGTGATGGAAGGGGTGGAGCCTGGCTGCACCTCTCTTAGACCCTATTTAAGGGCTGACTGCTGCTGGGGCAGGATCCTTTTCTGGAGATCCTTCTTCTGTGGGGTTTTTCCTGTGAACCTAGATCTTTGGATACGGGTGAGCATTCCTTCCCTGTTAGTTTCTTTTCTGGTTGTCACCGTGATAATCTTTCCAGCTGTAATGTCGACTGTAACAACAGTGCATGCAGAAGATGAAAAAGAAGCAGAGAAGACCTTGAGATGTATGGTTCTGACATTCTGAATTACTGTGATGTCAGCAGGTTGTGTGCATTGGTGACTGTCTTGAGTTCTTGCCTATTAAGAACAGACAGAAAGGCAAAAACTTTTTAGCTTCAAGCCTCTCATAGTGTGGTAACACTGTTGTGCATCTGAGCCTCTTGCTGTTTTTCAATTAAAGATTTGTTTTTCATTCCTCCTTTAGAAGAAAATAAAATATCTCAGAGTTTCCTGCTGGCCTATGTATTCTATAAATGAACCATCCTTTTCATTGGTCTGCTTGTTACTGGAATTACTCTCAGCAAAAGCGTTTAGCTTTTATGTGTTGGCACGCTGTGTGCTAGGGAGAGATGAGAAAAGAATCATTATAAAGGAAAAAAAAGGCAAATCCAAGGAGGTAAAGAGAGTTTGCTGTGAGGAGGTAAGATTGCCAACAGCTGAAAGAATTCTTGTTAGTAGTGATGACGAGGAAATAGAGTCCTCAGGGCAAGGAAACTGCTGAGAGAGGCCAAAGGACTTTGTAGGGAAAGGAGACTAGGGCTGGAGAATGGAAAATAAAATTGTCTATGTCGTAGCAAGGATAAAGTGTTTTTCACTTTGATTTTCCAATAGTAGAAGATAGGAATGTGAAGACCACAATGCAGGTCTTTACAGCTTGAAGGGACTTCATGGCAAGGTGTGATGCTCAAAATATATTGCTTATAATTAATAGCATAACAGATTCCTCCAGTCTCTTGTACTAATAACTACATAATTATGACACAAAATACTTATGGGCTTCTTTGCAAAACCTGTGATAGCTAGATATATATTAACCCTTGAACCAGCTAATGTAAAGCTCTGTGAGAGCAAAATAGACAAACTACTGGCTTTCATGGCATCCATGATATGCCTCTCTCTTTTTTTTTTTTTTTTTTTTTTTTTTTTAATTTTAGAATGCGTACATAAACTTCTAAGCCATTTAAGTGCTTTCATAAACATACTTGTTGTGCTGTGAAGCAATGAATGGGAAGATGAGGTTATACAGGCTAAAGCCTTTGGCAATGTTCACTATAGCAGTAAAAGTTCAATGAGGAAGTGTTGAAATTGTGTCGAAGGAGATTGTTCCAGCAGAGAACTCAGGACTATAAAAACAAATACATATTGCAGCTTTATGAAATGTTAAAGGACAATTTGAAAAAGGACTTTCAGCCTTTTTGTCCAGATGTTTAAAAAACAAAAATAAAAATTGCAGAATATCATGTGAATTTTTCCTCTTGATAAACTTGAGGATTAGACAGAAAACTTGGGATTCATTCAGTCCCTCTAATCTTGAAATGACTTGAATCAGTCTCTGTGTAGAAGATAATGTTTACTCACGAGGTTCACCCAGATCTTTTTTTTTTATTTTTAATTTACTAGAAATATAAGGACATTGAAGTATGGAAGGAAGACGTAAGCAAGTCTTAAATGTAGCATCACTCAGGAAAGTAGTGCTAAAAGAGACTCTTGGAA